TTGCTGTTTCCAGTATAACAGCACCTTAACATCTCCTCTCTTATTAAGGGTTAAGCCAAGATTCCTTACAAATCTTTACGCTAAATCCCTCAAAGACATTGAGGCTAAACATTTACTTTTATGAACAGATGTTGCTTCAGCAGTATGGCTTGTGCCACGTTATAGAAGTTAACATGTCCAGTTTTCCCACAGCTAACAGTTTTAGAATACTTTCCACAGTATCTCATGAGTAATTTTTCAGGGTAGAAAAATGTGATGCGATTGCTGACCAGTAGAGGGAGACAGGATACTGTAATCAAAAAAATCCAATGGCAGATTCTTTCAAAGGATGCCATTAGAACACAATGCAGCTCCATTTTTTCATCATCTTCCATTGATTGCCACGAGCTTATACGAAGGGAGGCAAAAAATGAGCACTTATATATTCTGGTTTAGCTCTAACATTATTAAAAACATTAATTCAAATCTTTGGAGAACTTTTTCAGGGCACCAGGCTTTTTTGTTTGGTTGGTTTTTAAATTAGGAGAAAGATTTAGATAGGGGTGAAACAGATCCAGGAGAGAGACAAATATCTGCAAAATCCTCTCAGTTTGAGAGGATTCGTGGACACTGAATGTTTCAAAGCTGCATACTACATTTTCAAAATAATAACTGGCACAAAGTCCTAAGGTAATGGAAAGAAAGTAATGTACATATTAAAACACAAAGAACATTTTAGAAGTTTTGTTTAACTACTCTTGTTAGGTACATTCTCCACCATGTACTTATTTAGTTGTTTTACAAAAAAAAAAAAAAAAGAAAAGCTATTCTGTTTTTATATTCCAGACACATGTATGTGAACCAGCCACACTGATCAAGCTGAAGAAATATAATGTGTTTTAAAGATACCGAAGGTGCAACATTAATCCAAGGTGCTAGGTAAAGAACTACAAAGGGAAATACTGAAGAGCAGTATTTAGAAGACCTCCTAGCAGTGTAGCCCAGGGTGAGCACTTGGATCAACCTGTTTAACATTTTCTTAAATAACCCTGTAATTTACTAGTTTTGCAAAATCTGCAAAGTCGAAAGACAGTGCCAGTGCTGGAGGAGGACTACTGCTTTACAGTAATATTATGACTTTATAAATTAAGAGTATTGCAGCTGGGATTAAATGTAATAGTGCAAAGTCCAAAAAATGCAGTTTGGAGAAGAAAAAGCTCCTCACCACTAATCCAGGTTCAAGATATGGTTCACATTTGTCCTATACTAGGCATCTGAATAAGTAACTACAGGCCCCTTCTACCACCACTGCTTTCAAATACCCGGAGAAGCAGACTGAGAATATGATGCCTTGATAATAGACCAAGGAAGGCATGCCTTTTCTTCTCCAGTTGTAATCCATGACCATCAATAGGGATCCCAAATAAGACAGGGATTTTAGTGGAGTGTTGGTGCAAGTTTTTCCATTACCATTGTTAACCTTTTTTCCTTTATGGTGAAAATTCACAAGGTTCATTCACTCGCACTCTGCTTCTCCAAGTATTCTCACACTGGCTCACCAACTGGAAATGAAACTCTAATTTCTTGACATTAATAGCATTTTCTCAACATACCTCCAGCAATGAAAACTGGTATTTGGCATGATTTTATATAATTCATCAAGAGATCTGGGGAATACAAAAGGAATGGGTGACCTGCCCCAATGGCCCCAGATAACTGGTTCATGGAATAAAGAAAATTATCTTTCCTATTGTAACAGTGACCGAGCTCCAGCGTTTGACCCAGTGGACACTGACAGCTGAGAACTCAACAGGTTGTGGGCCATGCCAACAAGCTGCAGGTACCAACTCCCAACAGATTATCTCACAATGTGAGAATAAATATCCCCTGGAATCAAAAGGAAGATAATAGTCTTTGAGAAGAGCTGAAAGAGTGACAGTAAACACTATCATCCCGAATTTGACCTTTCTTTAGTTCAGAGTTGACAATCAGTCAACAGGAAAAACTGCAGAACTTTTTCCCTCTAAGATGGTGAAAAAGTCAACACAATCAACCTCCCAAAGCAGCAAGCTTCTGAGACAGAATCTCTGAAAAGGAACATGGCAAAAAGTATGCATGAGTACTATATCTAAAAGTAACAGGTACTCTGCATTAGAGCTTACAGTGCTTCCACAATCAGAGTCCACATGACTGGTGAAATGCAAGAGCAGATGCAGTTGAAAGACTATCAAAATAGTCAAGAAGTATAATATACCAAAAAAAAAAAAAAATCAACAATGTGAATATTTACACTCTGTAGACTGATGTCTGCGTGCTTGAAAGCTCTTCCTCTAAGACTACAGGCTACCTTTTTCCATCTCTAATCTCAGATCAGGTGTCTTCACTACAAAATCCAGTGCTCAATAAAGCACAAGGAAGAACCCTAGGGAAATAAAAGTGACTGTTCCATTGCATGGCACATGGGCAGAATCTTAATCATAGCCCTGGTCAGGTTTTAACATAATACTAGTACTGGATAGGATACTTACCTTTAAGGACTCAAAGTATCAGAGGCAACACATTGAAGCCTCAGCCTGCTCAGAGTCTAGAGTCAAGAGCTGAAGGAAACTCCCTCACTAGAGAGATGCCTGGATAATCAAAAAAGTCCAGTGCTGAAGTTAAAGTTGCTGCAGTGCTTTTAGCCATGCTGCAGAACTCAAGGATGCTGTTGGTCACTATACAAATAGGCTAACGTGTGCAGTGCTCTTGATCCACCCCGTTACTTTGCCTTGCTGTGCAATGTAGGCTTTCCGTCTGTTACATCACAGCACTCAACCTAGCATTATATATGATTGTCTGACACGTAAGATGGTTCTGTGAACATTTTGGGACTAAGTATCCACTACATGGTTGCTTCTGACCATGGAAAGCTGAAGTCTAATTGAGCAGTACATTCCAGACCAAAATTACTTAATAGGCTTAGTTAAGCCAGAATTGGAGCGTCTTTAAAAGGAGAAACACACCGAAACAAACAAAACCCAGAGCAAGCCAAAAAACACCAATTCAATTGCAAAATCCAGGAAACAAAAAGAAAGCCACAGCTTTCTACCACACTGCAGAACAGATTAGTCTGTTTCTATAGCAGGCAGCTAATGCCTTCTTTTGGCAAACAAACTCTTCAGACAGAGCCAAGAGTCTAGCAGATGATTTACTGATTAAAAGCAAAATGAGAAACTGAAAACAAAAATTTTCTGGAGAATGTAATAATTTCCCTAATTAAGCCATCCATTTTAGTCCTAAATTGTCTAACCAATATAGCGGGAACAGGCTCAAAACACCTGGATACCCTTTAGCTATTGCACAGGGACCCTTACATAAAATGTCTTTATATAAATCGTGACAGCCATGAAGAAGTCAATATAAGTTTGGGCTTGTCAAAGTTTTTTAGATAGTGATTCCAACAGCAAAACAAATTATATCCTTTCTTTCTGTTCTGCTAGGAAGACTTCCTCCAGCTCCTCCTCTAGTATAACATGAAAGATACAGTTGAAACAATATGGTTTTATACAGTCAAAGCAGAGCATTTTTCTTCTTCAAGAGATCAAGCTTCTCTCTTCAAGAGATTAAATTTCATTTAACACTCAGGAAACACTCTTAAAAAAAATGAACTGCAAGCAAAGGCAGACTGAAAGGAGAATACTCACTTGTAGCGTAGTGTCGAAAACAACAAGCTTAGAGCTTGTTGGAACAATGTCATAACACTTGTGTGACCTCATGAATCGCACATAAATGTCACTTTCCGATTCTTCAAGTGCTGTAAGTAAAAACATTATGTTGTTTTATTTAAGTAACCTTAAAAAAAATAAAAAACATGCCAAATCAACTGAACACCATTGCAGAAGGACAACCCTAAAGCAAAACTCAAATTCACACTTCCAGATCTGGAGAGACAGTCATAGTTTTGCACTTTGCGTTTCAGACTCATCTTTCAAATTAAATAGAACAAAGACAAAATGCATTGTTCTTCCTTAATGAGCAAGGACTTCTGTACCGAAGAGTTATATTTTTTTAATATAACTCTTCAAGGCCTTTCAGTACTTAAAGGGAGCCTATAGGAAAGACAGGGACAATCTTTTTAGTAGGGCCAGCTGTGACAGGACAAGGGGTAATGGTTTTAAACTAAAACAGGGTAGCTTTAGACTGGATATAAGGAAGAAATTCTTTACAATGAAGGCGGTGAGACACTGAAACAGGTTACCCAGAGAGGTGGTGGAGGCCCCATCCCTGGAAACATTCAAGACCAGCTTGTATGGGACTCCGAGCAACCGTATCTAGTTAGCAGTGTCCCTGCTCCTGCAGGGGGGTTGGACTAGATGACCTCTAGGGGTCCCTTCCAACCCAAAACATTCTATGATTGTATGATTTAAAAAAAAACAAAACAAAACAAAACAAAAACCAAAAAAAAATAATCTTTGTTTTCTAACAGCAAACCATTGGAATATGCATCTGAAATCTAGTTACACACAGAGGAAGCCAGTTTGAAAGTTAAGTAGTGTCAGGCTTGACTAACTCAAGTTCCTTAAATTAGTATTTCTCCAATCTCATCTCTATCCAGTCCACTTTTCACATAGTAATTCTGTATTTTCTAAAGAGGCAGCAGGCCTGATGTAATCAGTTCCATTCTCTTCAGGCTACTTCACATACAGCATCACAAATCTAACACTTTTATTTACAAATACAGGATCCACTTGGCTGGACGGTTTCAGTGTAGCATGCCTGTACCAAGGACATGCAATCTAGTCCATACTAACTTAAATTTACTTTGCGTTTGTCAGAGTTTAGATGCACATGCATACATTCTTCAGATCTGCTCAGTTATCTTAACTTTTTTTTTTTTTTTTTTAAAAGCAGTTCATCCCTCCATTCTTTACAGTAGGTATCTAGAACTAGGTCAAGACTAACCCCTCCATCAGATATGCACCCTTTAGGCCCTGTAATAATGCACAGACACTTGGTCATACATTAAACATTTGAAGAGCAGAGAAAAAAAAACCAACCAAAACCCTAGAAATACCTGCTGATCATTGAAGAACTTCACATTAGCAAGCTAAAAAACTCAAAAACCTTGTTTTCTAGATTTGCTCAAAATCAGTCATCTAGCACCAGACAAATTATTTGTCACTTCCAGAGTGGCTCAGCAGAGCTTCTTTAGTCCAATTCTACATAATCAAAGCTGGAGCTCCCCTGCAAGTGGCTACTGTAGGATACAGAAAGTCTCTTCTACGTACTAAGCAAGTCCTTCGTCTCCAATTCTCATTACTCAAAAACAAACAAACAAAAAACCATAAAAGCAAGCCTTTTCCCCACTGAAACACAAGCACGTGAAGTAGAAATTCCATAGGAATATAGAAGAGTGTCCAACTGGGAGAAAGCAGAAGAAAAAAAAGAAAATAATTTGTTGGATTTATGTTCCTATAAAGGTCAGGACCAGAAGTGAAAATAGCAGGAGCTAGGAAAAATTGGTAAGAGATTAGGAAACTATGTGAGCAAACTGATAGGAAAAGGACTAGGCAGACAGACTTGGACAATGCTGGTGGGAAGCAAACTTTATGAGATGATCCCAGAAGGGGAACTGGTACTAACTCATCAAGGGCACATATAGAAGAAGTTAAAAAGGGTACTTTGGGACAGAGGAACCTTTACATAACCCCATAATACACTAACATCTTATCATCCTCTAACTTCTGCAATAGTATAAACAGCTATTGTCTGTACAAAAATGAATTTAATGACCCTGCAATAGAGTGAGTTGTTGGGGATTTTTTGTTGGGTTTTTTGGTTTTGTTTTGTTGTTGTTATTTTAAATACACAAAACAAGAAGCTGGGAGGGGATGAGACAGTAAGCATTAAAAACAATATTATAAGAACATTTAGATGACATGCCAAGAACTCTGGTCTTTAGAAAGTTAAGGTTGCTTCTACAACCATAAATGCAGTCCCTCTGTGCAGTAGGAAGAGTCCTTACTTACTTTAATCTCAGCTTTTTCCATGGGACAGTACACAATGAGAATGGTACTCAAAATTTAAATCAAATCACCAGTAAATTAGACTGGCTACTAACACAGTCAGTGACCATTGGAGAGGCACTGCACTGTCATGTCTTTCCCCAGCACTACAAAAACTACAAGTCAGCCTACAGAACAGGAGGAAACTAATTTCTTCCAATTTTAGTCCCCTGACTGTTTCATTCGATACATTCCAATTGCTGCAGCAAGCAAGACAGTGGTCCTGCAGTTCTGAGCCACCTGCAGAACAGGTCTATTCCCCACACTGACTGAAACAGGGATTCTCCAAAACCTTCACCAAGTACCCAGAAACTACTACGCACATATGTACCCAGGGAAGTTACTATTCTAATTCTGAATCTGTACATCCTGTTGAGTCTGTAGCCTTACCAATGTGACTTTATATACAATTAAGTATACTACAGGTAGAAACAAGCATAGGAACACCTCAAACAGTTGATAAACTACAGAACAACCAACTATTTTTAGCTGAAAAAAATCTACACTCTTAGCAGAGCACATCATTGCTGAATACAGTCTTGCCAACTTACCAACAATTATGCAAATTTATGTATCACAATAGCAAGCGCAGTAAGTGTGAAGCAGGACATGTTGCCATATTTAATCGGGTAATGCTGTTAATGGCAGCCACAGTTAAGAACTCTGCATTGACCGGCAGAGTAAAGGTGTGCCTATAAACCCTCCTCTCACCATACGCTCCCATTCTCCAAACACAGCTTCAGCTGGACCTCAACAATCCTCAAGCCACTTAGGCTGCATGGGATTGGATAGGTGCTATCTTGCCCTACATTGTCTTCCAACTCAGAGGAGGCACCACAAAGCAACTGCTTCCCAGTAACTGGAAAGTTACAATTAAAAAGTTCAGAAGATGTCTGTAAGCGCTGTTTAACACCCATATAAACAGCTAGGAAACTCTAGCAGGATCTGAACAAGGATCCAATTGTCCAGCTGGAATTGAGGTTTATTTCTACAGAAGAACCTTACACAATAAGTAAGTATAATGTACTGCTTTATTAGTTACTAACTGAACATGCAAAACATAAGCAGCACTGATTTAACTCACACGTCCTTCATCAAGTGTCTGTTGGAAAGGGTATTTAAGACCTTCTAACACCTTCAGCTACTTGGGATTACCAAACAGATGCTGCAGCCTAATTATTTGTACAGGTATTGTATGTGCATTATGTATATACAGCTGCCCAAAGAAGAAAAAGGTCTCTCAAGCTGAAGGCATAGCAGATGTCAGGGGTGCACTCAGGCCCATCTTTCCTGCACAGCACAAGCAGACAGGGCATAGTCATCTTTACAGTTCCTCTCACCTTCCAGAGGATAAACTTCCTGCTTTTGGTTGTATCCAACCACCATTGTGTTGTAAATACAAATAATCAAATATAAACACCCTAAGCTCCATTAGGATATTTCTATTTAATTTTCTATTTATTTTCTAGTTCCAGTCTCATCTGTTTTTCTGATAAACACTCATCCTTTCTGGCTACTATTAAGCTTCTGCAGTCTTAACCAGTAGCTGCAAAGCAGTACTCCCTTCAGGTGGACAAGAACAGATGCCTCGCAGAGACTGAGTGAGATTTTAAGTCAAGCTGAATGTCATCTCTGATCTGCATAGGAGATCATCCACCCAACATGCAGGAGCTATGAACGTATACTGATCATTCTTTCACCATAAAGTCAGTAACATATTCAGACGTTGATATGACAATGATGTACTACATGAACAAGAGGTGACATAACATCTCTGCTTTCTGCTTGAGGAAGCGACCAAGGTAACCAAAATTAGATTTGCTAAGAAGCCTCATTTGCAGAAGCCCCAGTTACACTAATTTAATGCTTAAGATGTCCTAAGCCGTGTCACATTGATAGGCCACAGAGGAGAATGACTACTAGGAAGCTGAGCTGTAGTATGATCAGGGACTTCCCATGTGAGTCCTCCTCCTAAGTGTCCTAAGCCGTGTCACATTGATGGGCCACAGAGGAGAAGGACTACATACTACAGCTCAACTTCCTAGATCAGGGACTTCCCATGTGAGTCCTCCTCCTAAGCTGAACTGGAGTCCCAACTGTGGTAAGCACCATCTGTCCTTGACGTTCCTGTTAATTGTATTCCTTCTCCCTTGGCAAGATGCCCCATGCATGCCTTTCTCATATTGCTTCTGCAACAACTCTTGCAAGGAGCAGGAAGATGGAAAAGCACTAGACAAAATTGCTCTAGCATGGCAAAGGCAGTTGCAGATAAGCCTTACGGAGTATATTTGCTGGACTGTAGCTTAGGTCTAAACCAAGACTCAGGACACTGCCTCCAGCCAAACCTCAGCTTTCTACAGCTCATGATCTAGCAGTTAGTTGGCTCACAGACAGAGCAGATTCCCAGTAGGAGGTATCTTAATCTAGAGCAGGATCAGGGGAGAAGAGTCCACTAATAAGTAGTGGAATTTGGATTTCCATGTGGGTGTTCACTTGCGAAAGCTTATTTCTTGAAGATTCACCTGAAAGTTATTTTGCAAATGACATTCTCCATGTGCACTCCCTCTCCCCAAGTCATAGATGAAAGCAAAAAAAAATCCAAATCCCTAGTGCTGTTTCCTGCAATTTTTAATAGAGCACAAACACGAGTCACCTGAAAGGTCACAAGAATTTTTGATAGTTTCACGCCTGAAGTTGAGAGCCTTGTCATACAGCCTTTTACAGAGTAAGTTCTCTCCCTGCATTGGCA